CTATAAAACCTAATCAAAGGAGTCACAATTTATGGATTCTGACAGTCTCTCCTACAGCTACATAGCTCAGAGCAAATCAGATCTGCTTTCAAACATTTGCATCTGTTCTCTTGACACAGGTACATGTATCTACCCCATGACCTACATTTCATGTTGTGGCCTCAGTATCAGCAGTGGAAGTAGTCCAGCCACATTCATGTGGTGATAGAAACTGTGGGTAAGAATGCATCAGAATGAATAAGGACTCTAGTCTTCTAATTTTAGGGTATCAAAAAAGATTTAAAGCTTAAGAACACTTGCGTAACCTCTGGGTACACCTTCTATTCCTGCAAATCAGTTGACTAAGAGTAGTAGCAGAATGCATCTGGCGATTGTATGAAAAATGGTAAGGGCTAAACTTCGTTCATGGCCAAGTGGCCTTGAAATATCTAAGGCAGGTCGTACATACTGGAGGAATTTCCCCTCACCATAGGCCATATGCAATCCAAATTGACATTTTCAGCACAAGTTACTGCCAGTTTAAACCACATCAAAATCAACTGTATTGACTATGATTCTTATTAGGTCATGACAGAAGCAGTCTTTGGCATGCTTCTTCATACGAGCGAATGGTGATGGCAGATATTGCATTACCTCATTGTGAGGTCACTATCTTCTTGCCATCTTCCTCCAGGGTTTCAGTTTTGATGCCTGGAAGGAAAACAGCTCCCTCTTGTTCCAACTATCTTAGGAAATCTTGCCAATTCCACAGAAGAAAATTAGTAGGATATACTTTCCTCACTGTTCCAGTTTTGTGCTGTTTGTATCTATGCTCATTAACATCAAAGTTGAATGACTAAGCTACATAGTAGATGCCAAAATAATAGACAGGGCATGTATAGTTAAACATGCTAACAGTGAAATATAAAGATAATTTGGTGATTATGCAAATATGATATTACCCACGTAAAAGTCTGCAAATAGTTCATTGCCTTGATGTCAGCTGGGATGTTTACAAGGACACTAGCTTAAAGGGGCAACAAGGTCTGTAGAAGATTCAATTCTTTTACTTTTCTAAGCTATCAGGGCAATATTTGGCTTTGACATACCTATTTTCTTAAAATGTATGGATAAACTATCAATTTCAGCATTAAGAAGTCTAAATTCAGTTCAAAGCTTTTATAAAGGGAGTCCCACTTATAGGTTTTTAAGCCCATGAAAATTATTGTGATTACATTTGGCATTCTTGTGCCCAATCATTGACTGTCATTATTCACTGACAGAATCCTTGACAGAAGCAGCTCACCTTAACCCCCCCCCCCATCAGGCTAAGGTGACTGGACTTACTACCCTTTGCATTCATTCGACTTTCCTTCTCAAAAGAGAGCTTCGTCTTCACTCTATCAGTTTTCAATGAATCTCTGAACTCACTGCGCTAATCAGAGTTTGTTGTCGAAATAAGGACGGCTTTCTATATGGTCATTTTCTCTGACGAAATTGCATCATTAATGTGCACGCATTTACCACTTGTTCCTTCAAGCTCACTGATTGGTTGAGAATAGGTCAGCATGGTTTATTGCAGCTTGGGTCATAAATGCTTTAAGACCCAAGCTGCCAATGGCATCGGTCATGGGGATGGGGCTGCTAAACTCACTCCATCCTTTGCTTCTATATTATGGTAATATATGATAAAATCACCCCTGACCTGTCAAAAGCTAAAAATGTCATTTTTCAAATTTCCATTATTTCTTACATCTCCTAAGGAATAATATGACAAAACAAGAGTATATGACACAATTCTAAGCTCATTTGAGATGCATACGTCTCATAATTAAGAAAAGTTCAAGGTTAAATAAGCCCCCACCCCCAGGCCATCATGAGCTAAAATGAAAATTTCAAATTTTAAGAAATGTCCAATCATTTTCTACATCTTATTGGAGGTATTATGATTAAACAGAACTATATGCACCATCTTGAGCTAATTTGGGATACATATATTACAAACCTTGAAAGTTATTAAGGTAAAATATGGTTACCCCTGGCCCTTCAGAAGCGATAATGAAATTTTTTTTTTTTTGGAAAAGTTCCAATCATTTTTCAATCCAATTAGGAATAATATGACAAAACAAGACTCAATGCACCATTTTGAGCTCATATGAGACCCATATATTGCATATCTTAAAAATTATTAAGGTAGAATAAGGTTACCCCTAAGCCGCAAGGGCTTAAAAATTCAAATTTCGATAATTTTTATCTCAAAAAATACATAACCTACCTAAGCCATATTCTATATTTGTGATGAACACTTATACCCCTATTAGTATGAATTTTTCCAAGATGATCAGACATCACATTCTTGAAATACAGTACTTGATGTCCCATATTTGACCCTTTAAAAGATGAATTCACGCTAGATAATTGGGTCAAAATGCATTTTCCACACTAAACACCACATCTACAATAAGTTTGTCTCAATTTCAAGGCTCAGAGCAATCACCAAATGAAGTCATTTAAAAAAATTTACTTCACAACCATTTTTATTTATTTTTTATAATGTACCCCCTCCCCGCCTGATAGGGGTTGGGGTCAGAGACTAAAAAATCCATGAAGACCACTCCGGATCACTTGCCCCGAAATCATTTTCCACTCAGATCAAGTGTTTCTACAACTGTGCCAAGTTTGTTGCTTTCCTGAAAAAGTCGAACTATGAAGGGCTCATTTCTGGACATCTGACTGCGCTAGTGATCAAACATCATTTCCAAATGAACCGATGAAGCCTTAATTTTTAAACAGTGGAGTAGTTGACGTATTTGGGGAATAGCGCCATTGCTTCAGTTTAAACCTTTTTCGGATATTTGAATGTTCTTGTCCGATACAAAAATGTTAAACTGTATAAGGGCAAATTTACGAAAATTGATATTTTCAAAATCGGTTGTTCTACTAAAGCCTTTGTCGTGTGTGTTGATACCAGCGACATTTGACGTGTGCTATTTTAAAGTCATTCACAACTGGTTATAATAATCATGCGATGTACACTGAAAATATTACTTATTATTTCTAAATATTGTTATTATTTTTTGTGGTGGGTAATTTAGGTTTTGCTGTCCAAACTTTTTTTGTAGTCGGAGGTTAGGGTCCGAGCTGACTAGGGTCCTAGTTGACTAGGGCCCCCCATTGGCTAGTGAATCTTCCGGGGCCGTGAATCTGTCAGATTTTGAATTCCTATTTGTAAGATTTTGAATGATTTTGAATTCTGATCTGTCACACATTTTTCTGCGACCTCAGTGTTTCAACATAATAACTCTCGAGAACTACGTGCTACATGTAATAATACATGATGACATTGTTAACGGACATGGTATATAGTTGCATCTTGACGCAATATCTGTGTAAAGGCGAACTAATATGAAAAAACTAACCTACTATACAAATTTATTATCAACAAATATCAATTGTTTAGGTTGATATGAAATACGGACTCTCAAGTAATATGAACGCTGTGTGACACTTTTATACAGGGCAACCCGAAAAAAGGAAGCCAATCATGCAAAAATGTTAATCAATTTCCCAGGTTAACATCATGCAATTATAATGGTACATGAAGATAAATATGGGTACCACTTTTGAGAAAACGCATCGATTCCTCATGGCTTTCAAAAGAAAGCCCATGATTCCACTGAGCTATTTTAAGTGAGATTTTCCCATCTTAATTTGATCATCTTGAATTAGATGCAATATTTAAGAAATATAGACCGAAAAGCAGGGGTAATATTGTGGAATACACCCCACAGGGCTAGGCACAAACGCTTTCTGTACCCCGAACGACCAAAGGGGTGTATTCGGTGATATTACCCCTGCTCTGAGGTCTATATTACGATTCGAACATGAAAACTCACCAAAATGATTCGAATATTCATATTGGTCCGCCATTACTACGACCCGCCGTTATGACGTCTCACATTAGGCTACACGTATTACCAGGGGTATTCTTCGCGAATATACCCCGGGTGAAATGTTGACCTTGTTTACAGTCTATAGAAGGCGTGAATACAGTCATGTTCGAATATCATATAACGTTTCTTGTTCACGTTTCTCAATTATTGTTTAGAAATTTCAAAACTTATAGATCTTTATAGATCTTTAGAAGTAGTTACATTACTTCGGTAGGTTAACAAATGCTCTGGGCGACTTCAAAATAAGATACAATAATAGAATATATATAGCTTATCAAAATACACGTTTGGGAGTGAAAAACGTAAAACTCAACAGCTCATTTGGACAAATCATGTTTCTTTAAAATCTAAAAGCTTGATTTATCAGCTCCCTCATCCTTCTTCAAATGACTTTATTTATGCTTAAATTCATCTCTAACCTTTTTACCTCTGATCCCTCCAAATTAGCAAAAAACACTTTTTGTTTTAAACATTTTTGAATGCTGTGATGAATGGATAAACCGCTATTAAGATTTCAGCAAGCTCATCATCACCCATTGGATAACACGCGCATTGCGACTTTCAAAAATTCATCAATTGTTTCATCAAAGTTAGACATTTTGTGAGTGAGATGAAGAGTGAGAATGGGGCATATTTATATACTGTATAGTCATTACTAACGTTAGCCAAATGTTCACTGCTTTTTGAATAAAAGTTACACATGCCATATAAAATGTCGTTAGATTTTTGAAGGACAGTGTTTTTTGAGGTAGCCTACCATTCAAAGAATAACATAAAAAGTTCCATCTTCGCAACAAAGTAAGGGAATACAAAGGGGGAAGTAGAGCCTCGAGCCTTGATTCAAGACGTGTGGCCATTTTGTTTGTCATGTCGCTTAAAATTCTAATAAAAAACTCATGATTTTGGAAATTCATTATGTGAAGATTCAAAAACATGAAAATGAAATTGAGTTCATTATGCACGTTTCTGTCATTTGATTGATACGTTCAATAGTCTGATGCACTTAACAGCAGACTGGTAAATGTGTACTTCACTTACTGTGATGATATTTTTCATTGCAGATAACATTCAATATATAATCAAATGTTACAACTGAAAGCAATGCGTTTATTTTACAACAACAAAACATTAATACATGAGCGCTCCATAATCACGACTGGCTCTCTAATCTTATTGGTCAATTTTATTTCAACCTTTCATCATTTTGAAAAATAACGGTATAAAGCAAGGATATTCCAGACCAGACGCGCAGTTTTATATTAATTGTCGGGAACATCAGTCGAGGTAAGTCAACTTTACAGTTCTTGAATAAAATTTATTGTTTTTGATCGGACACTATGATACTGTGAAGATTGGGCTAGGGTCTATTGATAATTTGTATGCAGACATGGAGACATATTTTGATATATCGAAGATTATACAGTACGATGTATGTGTACGTTATTATGTATTTACGCATAGAAAAGAACTTAAACACGCCTATATATGCATTTATCATACATTTAAAAAACATAATAATTATGTAAAGATATTGATATCCGCCATGAGTGGATATAATGGATATTTTTGAACCATAGAATATCACTTTTGAAACCATCGAATATCACTATGAGAAGTAATATTCGATAGTTTGAGAAGTGATATTCGATGGTTTGGGGATTTTTTGCTAAAATATGATATTTTGATCCACATATCAAATATATCTTCACTTGATATACGATCTATATCCTTGTTACCACGGGATAAAATATGTTATCCTCACTCCTTTGTAATGGTTACTTTCAGATTGTGCACATTTGTGAATAATTCCCCAGATTCAAGATGATCTCAGTCTGCTGCTTCAGCTTGGCAATAATTTTTTTTCAAGCAGTGGCCGTCCAAAGCCAATTACCACCCGATGGTGGACCTCCCGGCGGTGGCCCTCCCGGCGGTGGCCCAGCTCCAGGAACTGGAAACAGTAAGTGTATTGATTGATAAAGCTTTGTTTTGAAAGAACTGTGTACGGTTACGGCATGTGAGACGCCAGTCTTAAATATTGACCAATGGATGAACAAATTATACAGACATCCGTAGTTTGTTCGAAGTTTCAAAATATCAAGTTCATAACAAAGCCTCACTAGCAGACTAGATGTAAGATGATGTCATTAAACATTCAAAATTTAGTCGAAATGATAAAATATCATTATTTCTTGCATTAGACAGATAATATTTCCCTTATTGGACATATTTTCAATTATATGATTATCAAACTCAAAAAGGTTATATGAAAATTGATCAGTAAATCTAATGAATATTGTTGTAGTTTTTCCTATCTCACGCCCGGTGATGGGAGAGAATGAACGGGGGGGGGGAAGTCGCTGATTTTCGCTAGAAAATTCAACAAATCTTGAAGATTTACTTTTTCAAGACAAAGTTTACTATTGAATAGCTAAATGAACAATTGTATACGTGATCTGTGATGAATAGTTAAAAGTGACGTTTTTACCACAAAATTAATGTCATTGCTGGTTTTTTGAAATAAGTTTTCACATGTTAGTTAAGAAATAATCGGAAATAATTAAAATTGCACTGGGGGATGAACGGAGGGGGGGGGAGTAATATGTCTTTAAGGTGGATGGAATTTCCTCTAATTCATGTATTTGAAAAATGAACTCAGTAACAACTGGGTGTTACAACTCTGAAGAGTGGAAAATAGGGACATTTGGAGTTATCGGAAATAAAGTCAAGTTACATCTCTTATCATAGACACACCCCCATCCGTTCACCCCCCCCCCTCACGGTTCAATTATAAGACCACTTTCCTTTCTTTGTACATACATGATATTAATGTATTATTCGGAGATAAAACGTAAAAAATGTAACTGTACTTACTTACCGATAATCTCAATGTTGAATTAACATAGAGGAGTAACTTATCACTAATAAATTATCCCTTAACGCAGATAAAACAAAATAATATATTTACCTCAACTCAAAAAGATTAAATGCAAATAATATAAACATATATTTTAACAAAAAGAAGCTTCAGCAGCTTGACTACATTTTTCTTGCAATTGATCAAAAGTTAAATGCTTTCAAGTATAGAGGAGTAACTTATCACTAATAAATTATCCCTTAACGCAGATAAAACAAAATAATATATTTACCTCAACTCAAAAAGATTAAATGCAAATAATATAAACATATATTTTAACAAAAAGAAGCTTCAGCAGCTTGACTACATTTTTCTTGCAATTGATCAAAAGTTAAATGCTTTCAAGTATAGAGGAGTAACTTATCACTAATAAATTATCCCTTAACGCAGATAAAACAAAATAATATATTTACCTCAACTCAAAAAGATTAAATGCAAATAATATAAACATATATTTTAACAAAAAGAAGCTTCAGCAGCTTGACTACATTTTTCTTGCAATTGATCAAAAGTTAAATGCTTTCAAGTATTTTTGCTCAAGCAAAATGGAGCCTCCAACTGCGCTCTTTAATGATTTTCAAATTACCTCTTCTGCACTAAGGTTCCAATACACAGTTGGGAAGCTGAGCGTGTCAGCTTTATGAATCTAGCCTCCATTTGATTTTCGCTGAATGCAAAATTAGATATTAAGCCTTTCATCCCCATGGGGTAAAATCAAGATATCAATCATGCTTTTTCAATCAAAATATATCAATCAACAAGGCAAAATTCAACAAATCTTGAAGATTTATTTTTTCAAGAGAAAGTTTACTATTGAATAGCTAAATGAGCAATTGTCTACATGATCTGTAATGAATAGTTAAAAGTGATGTTTTTACCACAAAATTAATGGCATTGCTGTTTTTTAAAATAAGTTTTCACACGTTAGTTAAGAAATAATCGGAACTAATTAAAATTGCACGGAGGGGGAGTAATATGTCTTTAAGGTGGATGGAATTTCCCCCAATTCGTGTATTTCAAAAATGAACTCAGTAATCTTTTTGACCTTGAGAATGTCATTGAAGGTCAAATCTATAGTCAGATTTGAACTGTTGAGAACTTCTGAATCTGCAGTGAACATATACTGTTTTTTAAACTCCCTTTATCACATTCCCTTCCGCTATTCAAACCAGTGATCATTTTGAATATGTTTGATATTGATAATCAATCAGTCGAAATATACAGAGTCATGACACAGTTCACATTTACAACTGCTCCGTCACAGCGGACAAAAAAATTAAACATTATCTTTTATAAAAAAAAACATCAAAAAGACTCAATACATCAATATCTCATGAATACCTTCAGGGTTATGCTGAAAACATATGTAAATATACGTAAAAAAGAAATGGTACATTCCGGCGCCATTTTCAATAGCTTTTCCTCCTAGCATTACGGGATTTCAAACAGATGTGAAAGTTACCCGCAAATCATTTGAAATGATATATCCATCGCATGGAGAAAGTAATTTTCTTTGGTATAACGAAACATATGAATTAAAAATAAATTGTGTGATTTTATTAGCTCCATCACGGCGGACAAGTCTTTCGACACCAGCCTGTGCCTAAACAGATTCAAAAGTACCCCTCTTTCCGCATCTTGCGCCACATACCATTTGCTGGGAAATAAACTGTGTTCATCAAAGATGCAATATGGATCATATACATGTTACAAAAGAAAGTGTCCCAATTTCAACCGTTGTGTTGAAATTCTGTGATTCGATAAATAAGATGCTTTAGTAATTTTTTTTACATGAATGAAGAACATTCATTTGCGCAAGGACATTTTTATACTACATGTCCATCTTGCCTAGTGGGTCAATCAAAGCACAATGTCGGCGACTTTTAAAGTTCTCATTCGTTTTCGAATTTGCATAGAGTTGCTCAACATCAGATCAGTGAATGCCCATTAACACAACGATTGAACATTTAATTGTTGAGATGGACAACAACGTCCAATAAAGGTGCGATGCAGCTATAATGCCAAATATACATTTACTGCCCAAATCTACTAAGCAATGAAAAATATTTCTTTTATAGGAAGAATCACGGCGCATGCCTTATCATAGTCAAACACATTGCCACTATTAAAAATGCGTCTCTGGTTGTACGGATTTCATTTCAGTGATTTCATTATTATTTTTTTCAGCCTGTTTGGATTTGGCATTTATGATAGACGTATCTTGCTCCGTAGATAATGACGACATGGAAAGGGCAGTTGACTTCGCCAAAACTGTCCTGAAAAATTTGAATAGCGCAATGACGGCAAGTCGTTTGGTTACTGTAGAAACAATATCGAATTTGAGGACTTTAATAGTCAGTGAATAAAAACGCTTGGTGTCAGTGTGAATATATACACGGGGTACCATCGAATAATTTTGGCAACGTACCGGAGAACGACATTTTACTAAGAAATGGCAATAATTTAGCACAATATATTTTTTAACTAGAGTTCTATTTTGATTTTGACAAAAGTAAGTATTCCATGCAATAACTATTTCATTCATGAGTTTGTAGGAATTCTGTTGGAACCCAGTTCTGATCAAGTACGAAGTTATTGAAATCGGCGCAGATGGACTTTACTCCGAAAGATGGTTTTTCGATTATAACTTTTCACAACATTTAAGTATAGACTTTTGAAAAAAGTACAGAATAGTCCTTATACTTTTGAATAATTCTGTAATCACTGATTCACACGACTCTGATTTGTTTAATTAAAAAAAACGTTTTAAAAACATTACTTAGGAACGTAACCGGAGCTGGGAACGTAACCGGAGCAGATCAGTTGAATTATTTAATCAAAAAAAATAAAATATATGATTTAAAGCATATACTAATTTAAAAACATAGGGGATTGTTCGAATGCGTATTTATTAATATATATGCTTTAAATCATATATATATATTTTTTAAATTATATAATTCAACTGATCTGCTCCGGTTACGTTCCCAGCTCCGGTTACGTTCCTAAGTAATATTTTAAAACTTTTTTTTTAATGAAACAAATCAGAGTCGTGTGAATCAGAAATAACAGAACTATTCAATAGTATAAGGACTATTCTGTACTTTTTCCAAAAGTCTATACTTAAATGTTGTAAAAAGTTATAATCGAAAAACCATCTTTCGGAGTAAAGTCCGACTGCGCCGATTTCAATAACTTCGTACTTGATCAGAACTGGGTTCCAACAGAATTCCTACAAACTTATGAATGAAATAGCCATTGCATGGAATACTTACTTTTGTCAAAATCAAAGTAGAACTCTAGTTAAAAAATATATTGTGCTAAATTATTGCCATTTCTTAGTAAAATGTCGTTCTCCGGTACGTTGCCAAAATTATTCGATGGTACCCCGTGATATAGGCTACATTTGATTCCATATTCTGTTAAAACATTAATTTTTTAGCCAATTTTATCAGGTAATAACAGACGATCATTAACATTAACTGTTCAGTCACACACAGGCAACGAATATTTTAGCCCTACACGAATTGTACATGCTAATGGAATGGAAATGAAGGATTTCAACGGTTTGAAAAATTCGATGCAAGTACACGTAAACGGAATGGGTCGAATCATCATGGATCATGATTCGACCCATTCCGTATTAACACGTAGAGTATCATCGAGTTTAAAAAAATGTTGAAATCGTATATTTGGCGATATAACGAACCAATTTGACATGCTCGGTTCGTAAAGGACTAACGTATCCGTCGCCGGCAAGTGAAATCGGTTTCAATAGTTTCAACTTTTGTCATCTTTTCACGTTTTTGCGAATGTAAACAAAGGAGCTTGGCTCCCTAAGGCTTTTTCATTCTTCTATCAACAGAGATGTATTTGGTGTCTCTAGAAAGTAGAATCGGTTCCCTTGAGCATGTGCTATACAGTATCGTCGCCCAAACTTGCTATGAAGCATAATCCCCATTCCCGTGTAAGGTCACGACCTTTTATAAATGGTATGTGTTACGCGGTAAACACGATACAAAAATATGCCATATTCCGCAACGAATATGGCATTTCACTTGCGGTGTATGACAGATTCAGCTGCGGTATATGGCATACACACTAACCAATGAGAACGTGATACGGAAGTACGCAAATGTCAATTGCATCGATTGAACGAACAAGTTAAACTTTATAAAGTATTATAATGATTACTGAATCAACAGTACTGTGTATCGAATATATTAACTTAGCAGATGTATCAGTCACGAATCTCATGTAATAAACTCACTCAATCAATCCAGGATTCATATATTAGTACTCGACGCACTAACTTTATTGGTAATCCTGCGTAGTTTTACATTTAGAGTCGACTCTCGCAACCAATCAAATCAAGGCTTTCTGTATCACGTTTTCACCTGCGGTATATGCCATATTCACCTGTGGTATATGCACTGTTCCACAACTGGATGACTCTAACTGCAGTTAGCTTCATTCAAGATGGTTGCCGAGATTCTTTCGTTTTCGATAAACCTCCGATTTCAGCTAAACTAAGTTGAATCTTGATTCTAAAAGTTTCGCCATGCAAATTAATAAAACTATGATTGTATTCAACCACAAATGAATGCTCTAACACCCATAATATTAGAGAATTTTAAAGAAAACGACTTCACTTAGAATGACTCTAACTGAAGTTGATGATCTACGCCATCATGACGTCATCATCAACTTCAGTTAGAGTCATTCTAAGTGAAGCCGTTTTCTTTAAAATTCTCCAATATCGCGGTTGTTTGAGCATTTATTTGTGGTTATTTACCATCGTAGCTTTATTAATTTGCATGGCGAAACATTTGGAATCCAGATTCAACTTATTTTAGCTGAAATCGGAGGTTTATCGAAAACGAAATGATCTCGGCAACCATCTTGAATGAAGCTAACTGCAGTTAGAGTCATCCAGTTGTGGAACAGTGATATGGCATATTCCGCAAGTGAGTATGACATATTCCGCAGGTGAGTATCGGATATTCACTGAAATCAATGTATCGCATATTCACTGCGGAATATCGCATACTCACCTGCGGAATAAGCCATATTCCGCAGGTGAGTATGGCATATTCACCCGTATCACAAATACCGCGCAACCATGAATATATGCCATATACCGCGTAACAGTATGTTTCATTCCGTATTAATGTAGACAAAACCACTAATAACACCAGTTTGTATACTACAGGGTATATATCTAAGATTTAATTAATGCTTCATCTCTTTAATTTATAGGAAGATCGAGACACAACAGTTCGGGTTGCAGTGGGGATATTTATTGATCGAGTACATAAAATATTTTACCTGAATGAATACACAGAAAATGAAGTCGCCATCATGGATGCTTTAGAAGCCGCAAAACAAAAACTCAAACCGGAAATCATGAAGTGTAAAACAAACACACATTACGCAATAAATGCCCTGAATTCAGAGTATTTTCAAGAAGCAAATGGTGATAGAGACAATGCAAAGTACCCGAATGCCGCAGTTATAATCACTGATGCAAGAACAATGTCCAGGAAGGCAGTTAACAATGGTCATCTTGGAAGATATTTAGATGACGCCAGAAACTTGGAGAATGTACTCTACACTGTTCTTGTGGAAAATAAGTAAGAATTTTTGTACCTCCGTCCTTTATGCGGTCAAAAATAATTAATTCACACATAGTTAGGCAAGGTGTGTCCAAATCGAGCCAATCAGAACACACTATTTCGCGTAACTTCATTCCATTATATAACCAATAACAAACTCAAGGTCACTAGTTAAGCGGTTGTCATGGTGATGACGGGACTCTACAAATTGAAATTAATACTTTGCCAGGTTTTGCCAAGGGAAATGTTTCAAAAAATTTCTGGGGGATTCACATTTCCTAACTTTCAACCAAAATCACTTAAAAAATTGATATGGCGTGATCAATTGTACTTACTGTTCCAAAACGGAACGTCAATGTAACAAAATGGATAAACTTGGAAACGGATACTTAAACGTCAAGTTGCAGATAATAATTTGGCACAAAGCTGGGAAATACAGTCAAGCTTTACATTATCTATGAGAATTTACTTGAAAGATGACATATTTTGTTTATGAGAAATGGCATGATATTAAATTGAAAAAGTACTCATGGTAAAAGATGTCTGAAATCACTTTACTTGCCATAATATACCTGGTCCGTTGTGTATTGTTTTTGGCTCGCCCTGTACATACAATTTAGCAACTGTTTTGTAATAATAATTACAGTCGTAACAAGCCTCCGTTGGATGATGCTCTGTTGACTGGAAATGATACAAGCAAACTGTTTGACATACGAACTGGCAATGACAATGCCGAAGCTGTTCGTTTAGCAAACGTTCTAAAGGTCAACACTTGTCCATTCGATCCAGAACGTGCTGAAAAGGACGGTATGTATTAAATTGGTGTAATACAATCATCAATAGTGTGTTGTTCTTAACTATACAATGTTTTGTATTTCAAACATCGAACTATTTGATCATTTTAGTTTGCGCTGACATCATCTTTGCAATAGATGTCTCATGTAGTATTACGTCCGAAGACAAAGATCTGTCCACATATGTAGCAAGTGAAGTATACAAGAAGGTATTTGCTGAGACCAGGAATTATGGAGTTGGCACATCTCTCCTTGTATTTGATAATCACACGAGAGTATCTTTCCTCAAATCTAATACAGACCCACTATTTGATGACTTCGTTGCGCTAATACGTGGTGCTGATGTTTCAAATCATGCTTGTCGGACAATGCCAGAAAAAATGTTTCAAAAGGTAGATGACTTAGAGCTCGACCAGCAATCAGAGCCAGATCCAGATAAACCAAACAGATCAATCGCAATAAACATGGTCCTGTACTCTGATGGTATGACGGCTCCTATAAATAGAAGAGGGAAAACAATCATTGGCGCCGATGCTTTTAAAAAGAAACTTGGCACAGAACTACTCTTGGTCAAGCTGAAAAACAATCGTGGCAAGGACGGAAATAGTGAGTTTACCAGGGTTCCAACATCTAAAGATGCTCACTTGTTTCCTCAGAATGGGTTTCTTAATGATGCCAACAAGGATATAGTTGCACAAGATATTGCAGACCTGATAATTGCTGGTCTTAATTGCCCAGAGGAGGACAAAAAATAAAACTGATAGGGATAGAGTGGACAAAATCCACCTCAGTTCGTTTCAAGATCAAACTATGAAGAAGACATCATTAACCTATTTTATCAAATAGCTTGTCAATAAATGAGATAAATCATAAATATACGTATATTTTGTTGATAAAAAGTGAATAGTACATTGTGAATATACTTGTAGACCAGGCCACATTGAAAACCCCGAGTCAATTGCAAAACCTAGCTAATTGTACGAGGGTTGTCCAAGAAGTAATGCACTATATGCTCTAACTTTCTTCAATATTCTTTATATGTATAATCAGCATCATACATCATTTTAAGTCTTAAAATGGTTGCTCTATAGTAACACGGGAGCAGGGGTGGGCGGTGCAGGTACAACTTTTTCTAATCATGAAAAGCTTCAAAGTGTTATTATATTATTTCTTTCTTTTAAATGATCAAAATGTTTGGGATATTGTTTTTATTCAGCATGATGTTCATCAAGTACAAATTATGACAGTAATAATGACCAAGTATAGGGTGTGACGTGAAGTCATAAAACGTCAACATTTGCATTTGTAAAACATCTAGACAAATCGACCTTTGTATCATTTTATAAATTATCAATGGTTCGAAAGATGTCCCTTTGTACTTCATAAAGCTGGATTTTACTGAAAAAATAGAAAGAATACCTCTAGAATGGCCTACATGGGGGAGGGTCAGGTGCCTTGAATGGACATTTTATGGTCGAGTCTCATTTTCAAAAGAATGCCCAATTTAGGAGAAAATTTACCTTTTTGAAAAATGGGCCTCAATATTTGACAGAACTTAGATTTTGAACCCAGACTTTAATATATGGGGATTTTAAACATTTTTTGGCCGCACAGGCTGGCTATATCAAATTTAAACGCTAACATAAGCCAAATGACGATCGGTTTAAGTTATCCAGGAAAACGTGAGTCATTGTATTTAGATCAGGGCATGTAGCTCAACGATGCCATATGGACAACTAATCAAAATGAATAGAATGCAACAACTGTATCAAAGTGATTCCGATTACCGTGACAATATTTCAGGAAACAAAAAAGCATCCATATGGTTTTGTCTTGGGCAGATTTTAAATTTGTTAATATAATATTAGCCTACACCTAATAATGAGCCCTTGTGATTGGTCAATCATACTTTCCATTGTAATGTACGCCATAGATTGGTCAATATTAGGTTACCTCTACTACACTGGTGATCTACTCGATTACGCTGGTTACCGAAACGACCCGTTTTGGTAACAAAATATCGGAACCTCGAAGGTAAGATTTTTCTTTTTTCCTTATTCCACGCGTTGTAGGTAAAATTCCCATGACATTTGAATTTCGAAAAACGGTTAAGATCTGCATTTCTAACCGATTCCGTTTACGTGACTTAAGTGAAGTATTAAATTGACGATTCTGTTGTCTTCTGAACTATTTGTTCGCAAACATGTACATTTTCGTAAGCATATGATACTGACACACGTTTGTAATAAAAATGTCGTGAGAATTCTCCCCACAACGCGTGAAATAAGGAAAAAAGAAAAATCGTACCTTCGAGATTCCGACATTTTGTTACTGGCAAGGAGTATTGGCAGACATTATTCAAACCCGATACTCAGTTGCCCGGCACAATTTAGTAAACATATTTCTAGAAAATTCCCTTTTGACCAAGGATTTCGTTAGAAGATGTTCATTGCTCATTGGCAGTTCTTGTCTTCAAAATATGAGTAATAACGGAGTATCGAGTTTGAATAATGGGTTCCTCATTGATTCATGGTGTAAAGCTAAATCACAACATGATCCGACCAGCCATTCTTATCGAGCTACCATATGCACAGGGTGTGTAGGAATCAAGCGTGACAGTTCAACGCGCAGGGTAAGGTAATTAAAATACGAGGGTGGTGAAATTTGAGCAAACTGATGTTTACATCGTTTCAGAAAGATCTGGTCTTGTTTCTAGATCTTTTTATATGTAAATGTCTAGACAGTGAATTTGACTAAGTGAATTTCATAATTACATCTACAAAAACTCAGAATGTAGTTTACGGTATAACGCGAGGTAATGGTACAACACATGGAATTTGAATAATTTCATAGTTAAACTTACACAGACTGCGAATATAGTAAACGGTATAACGCGCAATTATAAAGATATCTAGAAACTAGACCAGATCTCTGAGACAATGAAAACATCAGTTTGCTCAAATTTCATCATCCTCGTGTTCTTACTCCGCGCGTTCGACTATCACGCTTAATTTGGTACAGCCCCTGTGATATGGATCTTTACGTCAGTCAGGAATACAACAATTTTTGTAAATATTCGAATAAATTATGATATATTTTTATTTCCATTGAACATATTAATACACTCTAGACCATGAAAATATAAAAATCAGGAATTCCTTATATGGCATTTTACTTGTTCACTGTGCATCTCCATGGTTACACGACTAGAAGACAAGACAGGCGAATTAAATAGGTTCTGAACATAATTGCATATTATCAAAAAGATATTCGAGGAGATAAAGAAATCTTTACACGAACGTCCAAGCAATGTGCGTGATTGACTTGTATACAACAGCGCCATCTATATGTCGCTACATTCTACACTCCTATATTATGGCCATCTTTTCTAAATCTCACTATAGCTAGCATTCATCTGAAGCGTTGGTTGAAATCTGGGCGTTGGCGTTTCGTGTTGCATTTGCAGGTGAGTATTTTCCAGAACGCTCGGCGGAAATTTGCGTTACACAAAGCGTAGCAGAGTGGATTGATGGTGCTGTTTATGTAACACAGCCAATAGCCTACAAGTAGAAAACATACACTTTTTAAGGATCAACTGTTTATAAGTTTGATAAAATAGTAATGTCGGAAATCAAATTATATTAAGTTTAAAATTATATAAAGTCGTACATCTATATATATAATACTTAATATTCTTCTATTTATACATTTATCCAAGTCTTTAATACAATATTTCAACAGAATCAACTTTCAATTATAACATCACGAATCACGTTATCCGGATAAATCGTGCATTACATATGAGCTTCTCAATGCATGAATATTTTGTAGTTTGGTCATCTAAGAGAGCTCAGGTTCTAGGCGTTTTATATGTTTCATCTCTGCTCATAGTTCATCTAATCGAGGTCGCAAAATGTTTGATGGTGATATTATAACGCCTTATGATTTAATGTACAAGACTAGGGACATAAAATGCTCCACACTTATTGACAGTTGCAACACCTACATGTACCAACATATGACCTCATATAAAAGCTCATAACATCAAAGCATATAACTAATGAACTAAAAACTGAAAAGCTTGCCTGTAAACATGGTAAATGTGAACGAATAGTCAATGCTAAGGATAGTGCCTCGAAACAGGAGTCGTGAATGCTTTGGGACTAGATGAATGGCAATACGGAAACGTTTGCGCATGTAAGCCAACATATATACGGGTGCGGTATTTGGCTAGTTTCATGTTCTACTCAACCCTAGCAACTTAGTCTTCTCCTAGCCTTCTCCTTGCATGTCTGTTCATTCAAGTGTGGCCAAAACAGTTCATTCTAACATTCACTATTTCGTAATCTAGACCATAAATTGCTTTAGTTATAGTCTCAAGAATTAGAAGAATAAAAATGTTGGAAGAAATCTTTTAAACAGCATGCCAATGTTTTCCAAGAAATCCGAATTTTATTTTTTGAAAAAGGAATTGAAATTTATATCTGATCAAATATAGAAACTGTAACTCTTCAATTTGAAGCGATAACCTGAATAATCGAATGATTATCCTGAAATGAAGACCGAATTGTTGAACTTTTTAGAAAATAGACATGACATGGAATGAAGAGAGGAAAACATATAAATTTTTGCAATGTTTTCGAAACCCACCCTCAGATCACATCTAACCCTTCTAGTGTCTCTAATATAGATATATCACTGAAATAAAACGTATAAGCCGTCATCCGTCATTCGGAACATGAACATTCGGAAATTAATCAGCTTTATAGAGCACTCTTCAGTGTAACATCTATAAACTGGAGCCTGTGACATTTAAAATTACTAATTTCTTACAGAGAGGAATTTATCAAATATTCTTCAATCGAACTGACAGGCTCTCCAGAAAACATGCGTAACGAATGCCAATATGTTTGAGAAAGTTAATAATAATTGCATAATACATTATTGCAATTAGTGTACTAACGTGGATGCGGTAGTTCGTTCATGAAACATTATCAATGGTTTTTTTAGATCAAGTCCCTTGTTTCTTTCCTGTGTTTCAGATTGGGATAAACCTAATATGATCTATTCCATTAGGTAAACACAGGAGCACATAATGTTCACATAGGAAGCGGTAAATCTAATATGTTCAAAAAGGTGCGAACTCTACCTATTTTTATTGAAATCACTTTTAGGCCACCAAAAATTAATCAGCTTTTTTACCATGTAACATGTGTGAAAATTCGAAGTAAATCCGTCAAGTGGTTTTCCTGGAATCGCGATAACAAGATTTATCTAAAAACTTCCAAGATGGCCGCCAGAATGCAAGATGGCCGCCAAAAAGTTAATCAGCTCAACTTCTTACTATGTAACATGTGAAAAAATTTGAAGTAAATCCATTGGATGATTTTCCTGGAATCGCGATGACAAGATTTATTCAAAAACTTCCAAGATGGCCGCCAGAATGCAAGATGGCAACTGAAAAGTTAATCAGCTCTAGAACTTCATACCATATAATATGTGTTAAAACTTGAAGTAAATCCGTGAAGTGGTTTTCTTGGAATCGTGATGACTAGAAAGTGAGACGCCGCCCGTCCGCCGCCCGCCCGTCAAGCTGACGACAATATCGTACCTTTTTAGGTACGGTAAAAAATCAATCCGATGGGCTGGATGACTTGTCATTTGAGCATTAGGCAAGGCATTTGCCAGTAGTTTTATTTACGAAGGAACATTTATTTGTTTTAACTATTTTCGGGGCTGTAAACAATTGGAATATTTTAAGGTATAAATGCAATACTTTCCGATTTCAATTTTGATACCAGCATTACGCATACCGAAATGCTTAACATACTTTAATGCGATCAATATACGTAAAATCCTCACTAAACGTTTATAAACATGTTAAAACGAATTGGGGTCTTGAACGTTACGTGCACATTTCAAACGATTTTAGACTTGCTGTTTTAAAGTTTCGAGCTAGGACAGGATGTTTCATGGTTGGTGAAGATTGGGCCAAGGTGATGGATTATGCAAATTTTGTAATTCAGGGATTGATGATCTTTCCCACCGCTTACTGTTATGTCCATATTTCACCTCCCATCGTTCTGTCTTATTTTCTAACTTAAAGAGTGCACTTGAAGGCAATAATGAACATGTTTTTAACCATTTTATATCTCTTAATGTTCAGAGCTAATTACAATGGCTACTGGGCAATGATATACATAGTATTTATGGGCACAAGTTTATAGAAGTATCAAACAATTTTTATCTAATGCATTTGTTTCACCCTAATCTCAATGATACCACAAAATACCACAAAATATGTTTTGTATTTTATGTACATTTTTGTAAGAGCACCCAGTATTGGTGTGCCACCGTTTTAAAGGTGTAATAAATAAATAAATAAATGCTGACATCTATTGATGGTCATCTGCTTTGTTGTCTAGCTAAATAAGTCAAGGATCTTAGACTAACGCTATATGAGAATAACATGCCTACTTAGGGGAATATAATCAGGGTATAACATGGGAGACAAAAATGCAGAAGAGTTAGCCATAAATTCAGAAACATCTCATTCTTCATTTGTTTTAAAATTAGACCCATAAATCTCTGTCGTTGGCTAATGGGATTGTCGGATGCTGGAAATTAGAGGGAACTACGACACATATAAGCTGGGAGACAGAAAACTCCTCTTGGAGCAATCAAATAATACCAATACTCTAGGGGCGAGGAGGGAAATTCTCAATAAATGGAGTATAGTTGGTTTGGCAGCATTTTCAGTTAGGTGAGAGTCTTGGATGAAATTTCCACCTAGGTGATAGCTTCACAGAGTGGTAGGAAGTTCTTTTTTTGAAGAGTTAGCCCCCTACCCCACAAAAACACCCCACCCCCGGGGAAAAAAATTGTTCACACTAAATAACCTTAGATATTTTGATGTTTGTAAGTGACATACATAGATATTATATATATGAATCATTTGCAGTATAATTGATGCTGATTACTCCTAAAAAAATTGAATATTAGTACAAAGTGTGTACCCCAGGGGGCAAATTCGTGACCCATTTCCTTACTATTTTGATCCTAACTTTTCAACTAGACACTGTAAGAGGTTGAAAAAATTCATGTGAAGTGCCCAATAGCAGGGTTAGTAACCCTGAAAGATGCAAAGCCATGGAAGAGGTAGGAGCTGAGAAAAAAATTGTTGATTTTTCGAAAAATTTGACATTTTTGACAACTGGATTTTGTGTATGACTATAGCTGACCCCTATAGTTCCTGGATCCATCCCTCTATGATGATATATATGGTTTTATAGTGTGGAACTAAGATGTAAAACATAATTAAGATGGGTTTTAAGGAAGTTTAAGGTTTTAAACAAGTCCAAAATTTGAAAAATTGTAAATATAAGGTTTCAAATTTACGAATTCCAGGTAGAGCCATGGCAGACCCCTATAGTTTCTAGATCCATCCCTCTATGGTGATACTTATGGTATTGCTGTATGGAACTAATATGTAAAACACAATTTAGATGGGTTTTAAGGAAGTTTAAGGTTTTAAACAAGTTCAAAATTTGAAAAATTGTAAATATAAGGTTTCAAATTTACGAATTTCAGGTATAGCCATGGCTAACCCTTGTGGTGTTTACATCCATACCTCTATGATTAAATATACAGTTTTAGAGTGTGGGACTAAGATTTAACATACCCAAAATGAATTTTAAGAAAGTTTAAGGTTTTAAACAAGTCAAAAATTTGAAGAGTTGTAAATGTAAGTTTTCAAATTTATGAATTTCAGGTATAGCCAATGATGACCCTCATGGTTTTTTTACATCTATACCTCAGTGATGAGATATATATTTTTAGAGTATTTAACTAAAATGTAAAAGATGCATAAGATGAGTTTGAAGGAAGTTCAAGGTTTTAAACAAGTGCAAAATTTGAAAAATTGATCTCAAAAATTGGTCTCAAATTCATGTTATTCAGGTACAGCCTTGAATGAGCCCTGATAATCGAAGGTTATGAGCATAATAGTAACAACTGTGATATCATAGCTTAGAGACCAGGTGTAGAATATATACCTCTTGCAGCAGTTAGTCTGCTGCATATAGATGGAGTGAAAAGTCATGAACTACAGTAAAATCTTTCTAATCTGAATGCTACTAGATATAGTATTTGGACCAGCTAAAAGCGTTCAAATTAGAAGTGTTTGAATTTTGAGGTTTTTACATCTTCAATATTCTGGATTTTGAAGAAATATGAATGCATTCTCAATGAAAAATATTAATAAATATTAATAATATTTATACTGACCACCCAAAAAGCTTAATAGCATTCCAAAATCCAATTCAAAAGTTTTGATATCATAACAATTCAGTGTTAAACTGACAATATTTGAGCAATTTTGTAAGAAATATGTGATATTTGGTAAAAAAAAGTTCAAGTTAAACAGGTTGATTTTTCAAATAAGAGTGTTCACTGTTCGAATTAAGAGGTGTTCAGATTTCAATTTTTAAACATAGGAGTCAATGGGAGGAAGGAAAATTGAACTGGGGAAAAGTGTTCAGATTGGTTGGTTTTCAGATAA